CCTTTGGTCGTTGAGTTCTCATTCAGTAGTGGTTATCCGAAAGATTCAAAGAGTGATGGTCAAGTCCAAGGGATGTGTCAGCCTATTATCAAGTTCGGTATGTTTTATGCTCTCTTGGCCTTAGGTATGTTACCCTCCTCGAGGGTGTAGGATTTTGGTTTCAGCGGGCTCAAGTTTTGGTGGCATTCGGGAAGCCTCTAGGAGTTAGATACATTTTGGTGGAATGTGTACAGTTCTGATCAAGTATAAGGTTTTATTTTGATAGTTCATGGGATGTCTTCTGGTTATGTTGAAATTGTCGTTTTGGTTGGAACCCTAGTATTCTTCCTTGGTTGTTTGAGTTTATGGGTTTTCTTAGGATGCAGATTGTGGTAAGTTCAGGTTATGTTGCCAAGTGGGGTGTTTATGAGTGGTGGGCTCAGAAGTCATGATTGCTCATTTCTCTTGCATGTGGGTACTTTCGGGTTTGGTGTGGGAGGAATGCGGGAAGAATCTCTCAATCATCTGGTTTAGATAAAGGGAGTAGTAAGGGTTGTAGGGAGTATCAAGAAGTATTTATGGGAAGTATGCATATTATTTCCGCTGGTTCGCAAGCTAACATTATGATTTTGATTTCAAGTTGGGAATTTGTCGGGATGTTGCAAGTCATAAAGTCCCTTATGTTAGTCTCGAGTGGTTGCCCAGGTGTGGGTACACCTGAGCCGATAAGGAGTTGGTAGTATCGCAGAAAATTTTGGGTCTAATCATCATTGGTCATCAAGGCCATATTAGGGTTTGATTCATAATATGGTTTGGTTTTAGGTGAAGTTCACGGTCGATGCGTTTTTCGAGGATCAACTGGGTATGTATTTGGTAGTATCCCCGGTCGGGGACTGGGGGTAACTTTCAATAAATGCTCTTCAGTTTTAAAGTCGATTCTTCGAAAAGATCGTGAATGGCATTTTTTACGGGGCTTTTTGTGGAAACTCATCGCGAGTGTATCCGTGTAAGGTCTGTATTTTGGGAGACTGTGAAGTAAGTGGAGAACTATTTGGTTTGAGGTGTGAGTCGCGCGTTCTAGGAGGAAGGTGTAATGTCATCATGATGGTGTAATTGAAGGTTGTTTGGGTTAGAATGTTCCTGTCTTCCTTGTTCTTGGAACCTGGTGGCTAGACCAGGTGTGAGATTGGTGGTCTCCCGGTTAAGAAAATCTTTGTATCCAGGTTTAGTGAGGGGTTGCGATGAATCAGAAGATTTTGGGTGAAATACATGGGTAGGTCCTTGGACCTCAGGTTATGAGTTTAGACCCGAGTTATGTATATAGTGGTATTCCAATCTAGGGTATTCCATCCTTAGGATGACCGGATCCTATGATCGATTGGACCTGACGTGTTTAGTATTCCAACCCGAGGGTTGATTGGGCCAAACATGTGCATGATACGAGGGTATTCCATCCTAAGGATGTCTGGACCCATCGTAGGCATGCCTGGTATTCCAACCTGAGGCTGATTGGGCCAGGTATGAGTGTTCGTGCTTGTTAGCTGGTTGTTATATGTATGTTGGTTCGGGAGCTAAAGGAAGCATTGTCCTGTCAGCACTAAAAGGGTTCATCTCCCAGTTTGTCTCCCGTTATTTATTATATCCCTATAAATTTGGTCAATTGAATGAGTTTTCTCTTGAAATAATATCTAATCCCTTTTCCAGTAAAGAATTGTCGGCAGCAGCATATGATCTATGATTCTGTTTCTAGTGGGAACTTCAGGTTTTCAGGGTTGAGTAGTCAGTTTAGGGAATAAGGGGAATGGAACCAACGATGGTTAGTATGAGCAGATTGTTGAGGAGTCAGACCAAATTCAAAATTCTAGATTGCAGATTTTCAGGCGGAGTAGGGTTGGTTTGTTGCGTGGGATTATGGATTCGTTTTTTCCATGGTAGAAATTTTCTGCTAATTCTGGTAGCCTTAGGAGGGTTATGGCATGTTCAAGGTTGTGGGTGTGTCCCTCATGATGTCAGGAATGACAGAAATGGTAAGGAATGATTTTGAGGACGAAATCAAATTTAAGTGGGGGAGAGTTGTAACACCCCAGTTTTCAAGTAATTTCAAATCCATGGGAATTAAATGAAGTGGCCATGGGAAGACCTAGTGGCAAAGAAGTAACTTATGGAGCATAAGTTGTACACTGCGCGTACATGTGAGTACGCTAAGCGTACTTGGGTGCACCTGGTATGCTAGGTGTACGCATATGTACGCGGGGCGTACATGTGTCACAATGAAACCCTAACATGTAGGGTTTGTGGTGGTGGTGGTGGTGGGGGGGGGGGGGTATTTAAGAATTATTATGGATCATTTTGACTCTCTCTTTTAGTCTCCAAGTCCCTTATCCATTTTAAGTGAACCCTAACCCCCATTGTGATCATCTTGAGCTTGCAGTGTGGTTTTGTGTGCCAAAAGGAGAAGTTAATGCATCAAAGAGGTCAAGGAAGGAAACAAGCTTGTAGATCTGGGATTATCATCTTCTTAGGAAGCTTCAAGAGGTATAAAGTTTCTACCTTTATGCTTGGATTGTTTAGATCTTTCTTTGGTTGCTTTTTGGTGTTCTTCTTGTCCCAAAAGTCCCAATTTTGTGCATGCTTGGTTTTGGACATATTGAGTTGTTCTTTAAGACCTTAGGATGGCTCCTAAGGTATAAAAATGAGGTTCCAATGGTTAGAAGTGTCCCATGTATTTGATAGAAAGGTATTAATGGATTAAAACATTGTATTAAGATCTTTTAGACGTCTAAACTCATAAAGTTTGAGACTTTATGACTGTAGTGTGCCTTTGGACCATGGATCTAAAGTTTGGGCTTAAGTGCTTAAGCCATTAAGAACTTATCATGATTTTGATATTTGAGAGGGTACGCCCCGCGTAAGTTGTTGTACTCACTGTGTATGGAGTCAACCACCTCGATGGTGGTCAATGTGAGGCGAAGTACGCCCAACATACCGAAGGGGTATGCCTCGCGTACGTACTATGTTTGGATTTCAGACTTAGGCTTCGGGTATTGGGCTATCTGTTGGGCTTTGAGACTTGGGCCCTGATGGACTAATTTGATAAGTGTGTTTTGGGCTAGTTAGAGGATCGAACCTTTGGATTAGGCCTAATAAGGAGTTAGGCCAAATTTGAAAAATTGGGCCAAGTGTGGACCTTGAAGTAATTTGGGCCTTTTGGATCAAGATTTGGGTTTGGTTTGCATTGGGCAGTGTTGGGCCGTCTGGGATTTTATGGTTGGGCTTTTGGTTTGCTGGATCTTTTTGGGAGAAGGCCATGAAAGAAATTAGGACCAATTTGGAAAATTAGGCCATAATTAGATTTAAGGAGTTTATTTTGATATTGGGTCTTTTGTCATCTAGTTTGGGCATCGGCTTTGGGACAAGCTTGAGGAAGGGTAAGAAGGTCTTTTACCCTGAATTGGACTCATAATATGAGTTAGTGACTGGATGTTGATGGATTGTCATTTTGGTATCTGTTAGCGCGGATCTGCAGTTAGAGATTATTCATGGAACCAGTTGTTGATGGGGTGCTGTCTTGATGTGGCAGTTCAGCGATCTAGCAGCCAGCAGCCAGGGATTGTCTGTGTGATCGACAATGCAAGGTGAGTTTTCCTCACTGTACTTGCGGGTCAAAGGCATCAATGCCAACCCAGTGGATTGATATCTTGTTATGCATGTTCTTGTGCTATGATGATCTGTTAGATCGGTATCCTGGTAGATAGGATGTTGGTATGCTATTATGGTCTGTTAGATCAATATCCTGGTAGATAAGATAACTCTATGCTTAGTGATATGTTATATCTTTTTGACAGGCTATAGACTGTTGTATGATTATTAGCTATATATGAAAATGTTTTATTGGTGGCTGAGGCTTCTCTGCTTTTTGCGTAAGCCAACATATTGGGGCATTCCAACCCGATGGTGTAGAGACGATTGAATCAAGTATAGAAACAAAATCAGAGTAATAAAAGATTTAGACACAAGATCTAAATAAAATCTGGTTGGCTCATTGTATTGTTTAATCAGTGAATACAAGAGGATAAGAGAAATGAGTACAAAATGAGAATCAAAGTCTTTTCCTGTAAGTGTATCCATCCCATATATAGGAATATTGAAAGCACAAAAAATACAAGGGACTAATAATAAGCTTCAAAACATAAAATACCCTTGTAATAACATTACAAACTGACTTCGATATTACAGACAAATAAGACATATTCGACACCTCACAATAACATCGAAATCCTACATTCCCCCCCCCCCCCCCCCCTTTTGCAAGAGATGTTGAATCTAAGTTGTTAACACCTTTGTAGCTTGATGGATAACCCTTCGAATCTCAGCATACTACTTTATAATCTTCCGAATCTTAGCTTTCTCCTTATTATTGTTCTTGGAACAACTGGTCATACGTACCATGAGATTTGTGTAATGAGGCGTTGTATACCTTTTGACATCACACGCTTGAAATAGTAATTTAGAATTATTCCCCTTCTTGTTTTTCCCAACAAAAACAATTCCTAAAGGTTTCAAGGTAATCTCTATAGTTTATGGAACAGTGATCTCTATGTCCAAAGACATTGCCAACTCAACATCTGTTAAGGCTAAAGCTCCATAGTATCCATCGATGAAAACCTTCGGATGAGCAAAACATTCCAAAAATCTTCTGTACTTGTCACTTGCAGTTTCGTTAAATAAACACTCTTCATGATCAATGCCACAACTAACAAATCATGACGATTCATTAGTGGAAAGTCTGCAACCAAGAAGTCGAATGTAACATTATTTGCTCGAACTGCATGATATCGATAATTTCGTGATAGCATCAGCAATTATATCGACCTTAGTATGAAGCGTAGAATAATTGTGATTTAAAACCGTGATCTCCTTCGTCATGTCATCTCTTAACTCTTGAATTTTTAAATTGACATTCTCACGAATAGTCTTGACATCTTGAACATACAAAACATGTCTTTCCTTTGCAACATCCTTCAAACACTAAGAGCTCCATTAAAGTTCTCAGATTGAGCTTTGACCCTTAACTCATTATTCTTGTCAATTTGATCAATTTTGTCCTGAATACGATGCTCTTGAGCTTGCAACATGACATCTACCTTGATACCTAAAACTGAATGTTTACCCCCACCATCTGCTTGTAATTGTAGCAATTAATTAAGCTTCCGATTAAGAATCTTAAATTGATTTCCAGACATCAACATGTGATTGGGAATGTCCTCCTCATTAGGATCAAACTCTATACCAGCAAAAGAACTCACGAACCCACCATCATTAGTTTCATCATCATTAATTGTTTTGGGACCTTCTGTGGATTGGGATGGGAATACGAAAGTAATGGGTTGTTGCATGATATTTTCAAAAGTAGGTGAATGAGTTGATGGAGGTGATTTGCTTGAAGTAGGAATAAGAAATGGATGTAAAGAAACTGTGGTATTAACAAGAGGTGTTTCAAAGGTAGATGAGACAACAAGAGAAGGATTGCCTTGGGGCAGCTGTATTCAATACTACTTCACCCATAGTGACATTTGCGTCCATAATAGATATGTTTGCAGTGATGCCTGAAGTGCGAATCTCATCATGAAATGATACGGCAGTCAACACCCTGGGTGGTATGACTTTAGTTTGCTTAGGAGTAGACTCGACAGTCAACACCCTGGGTGGTATGACTTGCGTTTTTTCACCTAGATTGATGGGTGTGTCTACTTTAGAAGTTTCCATAGTACCATTAGGATTTCTAGTCGCCTTGAGATTCGACTTAAGTGGAGGATCCCTCACAGGTGAAGAATGACCCATCTAATCATCTTGAATTAGAGACTCATGAACAACTTCATCATCCATTGAATCATCATGAATAACTAACTTCCTTAGCTTCTTCTTTTGTATCTTGGAAAGACATTTGGCCATGTCTTCTACCCTCCGTTTCTTTGAAGCTGGAGAAACAGGTACTTGAACTTCACTGAATAGAACCCCTTTTCGACTTACTTGTGGCTTGACTTTAAAAGTTGTTGAAAAACTTTTCAATCTTTCAGGAGAATTTCTTGGTTTATGAGCCATCTTTTTCAACTTTTTCAACACACCATATTTTAAAGGTAAGACTTTCGTTGCAGGCTTTGAAACTGGTTTAGGAACAACTATCGGAGGTGGCTTAGTGTGCACTTTCTTCTTTGTAGCAGACTTAACAACCTTCTCAACTTGTTCAGGTTGTGTTGTTGATGGACTTTCCTTTGTAACCTTGTTAGACCCCTTCTTCTTTGATGGACTAGTGCCCGTAGTTAACAAAACACCAGTTTCGATATCAAGATTAATTGTCTTTAAATAGCTCACCAAAACAGGGTGAGATGGATCAACCTTGCGAAGCATTGCATCTGGAATTATGGAAATAGTTGGAAAATTTTCCTCATCATCTTCAACAGTTTTAGGATCATGAAATGTCAAAAATTCAGCAGTTCCTTCATTGTTTGGAACCAAAATACCTTCCTTCTCATAAGCAAATTGTAAAATTAAGCTCCAATAACAAGCACAAGAAATCCCATCGACTACATTCGTGTTCCCAACACTTTTCACAAACTCATTCCAGAGTTAAGTTTCATAATCCACCGAAAAATCGTAATACAAGCCAGCCACCATTGCATAAACCTCCAAACGACCTATATCCAACCCTACTGTTCTCATTGCATAAACCTCCAAACGACCTTTATCCAGTTAAACATCGAAGATAGATCCCAAATAAAAAATTCCACATACAACGTAATCTAGACTTCTTAAACTCACTGATTTTAGTAAAAGTAGGCTGATAACCTATCTCATTGAATATATGAATGATTTGTTCATTCTTTACCTTGTAAAAGGGTTCAACATTAGGAATACAGAGAATCTGAAAAAAAAATCTTCTTTGACAATCGAAACTTCTTGTCATTCCTCATTTGAAAAGTCACTATGTTCATCGTCTTGCTATAAGTATCCATAGAAGTAGCAAGAGACAACCAAGAAACTGGGACTGAAAAAGAACTAAACATCGCCTTGGATAATACGGAATTTTGAAGAGCAACGATGAGCATCTTCAATTCCTCAAGGTAAATAGATACATCTGCTTGAAATTGAAAGTTTGTGCTATGAATCTTCATCATTGGTTTGTGATCGATCAACATGAACATTTGATGCAACCATGGTTAGGGTTTGAAGAATTAGTGAAGAAGACAGAGAGTTGTTTTGATTTGGGGATTTGCAAAATGCGTAAAATTGGAATGAACCCCAAAACCCCTTTTTATATTTAACCTAATGTAACGCCCATTCCTGGTACGTACTTATTTTGATTAAATGTTCTTTTGGGAAGAGCTACTCGGTGAGTTGTAGCCCTAACTCGTCGAGTAGATGTCGAGTTGGATGCGGACTTTAAGTGATGTACTCGGCGAGTCCACGCATGGACTCGGCGAGTAGGCCAATCAGGAGGAGACCCTAATTCTTAGGGTTTGAGACCTATTTAAACGTCCTTATAGCCCCCATCTCAGCCTCCATCACCCTCAGAGCATTCCTTATCGAACCCTGGCCTCCATTGGTAAGTTTGAGTGATTGTTGCCTTGTGAAGGGACTTTTTTTTTGCATATTGGAGCAAGTGGAAGAAGGGAGAGGTTGAAGAGGTCAAGGAAGGGGACTTAGATCCAGAATACATTCAATTGTGGCCATCCATTTTGGTAATAAAGCTTCCATCTTGCTTATTGATCTATTAGATCTTGTTTGTCTCTAAATTGTTATTTTTAAGCCTAAAACCCCCAAATCCTTGGTGAAGGAACCCTATGGTTGGGTTATACTTCGGATCTGGATTCTCATTACCTTCTAGAAGTGTTAAGTTTCAGTCTCATCCGTGATTAAGGAACCTCTTGAGCTTAGAACCCTATTAAGGGCTTAGTTTGGTCATTTGAATCCCCTAAAGCTATGCATGCACGTAAAGTTTGCAACTTTACGTGATAAGCATGCCCTAGAAGCCTAGATCTGTGGTTTGGAGCCGCTGCATGGCTCAAATCAAGTCTGTATGGAAAAAGAAATGGATGAACTCGGCGAGTAGAACGATGAACTCGGCGAGTCCTATGAAGATAGCCGTGGACTCGGCGAGTTGGATGAGCAACTCGGCGAGTCCGATGAAGATTGCCTTAGAGTCAACAAGTTGTTCTTCAACTCGGCGAGTCGGATGAACTTGGACTTAGTAGGTGTGCATAGAAGAAGAACGCATCGAGTCTTCACTAAGCTCGACGAGTAGAACGGGTATAAAATTAGACCAGATGGAAGAGACTCGGCGAGTTGGCGAGCCAACTCGGCGAGTCCGGTCAACCAGGAAGTTGACTTTGACCGGGAAGTTGACTTTGTCCAGGGGTAAAATAGTCATTTTACCCTAAGATTAGTTATCAGTATTTGAATTAGTGTTTATGGAAATTGTAGCCGGGGAGTTCCGGAGCAGCTGTCAGACAGTTTCAGAGTTAGCACCTCGACAATCAGCGTTACGAGGTGAGTTTCCTTCCAGTAGGAACGAGTCTAAGGCCACAATGCCGAACCGTTTAATTAGTAGCAGTTTTCGGACCTCAGTCCGATGCACTAGTTAGAATGTTTGATGCCTTCGTGGTTCAGACAGTGTTTATGTGTTATGTGTTCCGGGCTACGACCCGATGCAGTATGTAGTTTATGTGTTCATGCTAGTTGATATGTTTATGCTATGCTATGCTATGCTCAGTCAGTTCTGAAATTTGGTTCGATGCAGTTAGTTCCGGACTTCAGTCCGATGCAGGGGACAAGGTCCCAGTCAGTTTTGGACTTCGGTCCGATGCAGTTAGTCCCGGACTTCGATCCGATGCAGAGGGCAAGGCCCTGGTTAGTTCCGGACTTCGGTCCGATGCAGTTTCCGGAGTTTGGTCCGATGCAGTGGGCAAGGCCCAATATATGTTATATGTTATTGTATGGTATGTGGTAGCTTGGGGGAGCTCACTAAGCTTTGTGCTTACAGTTTCAGTTTTGGTTTCAGGTACTTCCGCAAGTAAAGGGAAGAGCTCGGGTTGATGGAATGGCACACACCACAGCTTCAGTTTGTCCTGGGAGTTGTTTTAGCTTTTCATAGATATGATTTGATACAGTCTTGATATAGTTTTCTCGTAATACTTTGCTATGATTTCGAGATATTGATGTACGAGTTTTATTTTATGATATTGACATGATGTTTTTAGTAATTATTAAACAAAAATTTTGGGTCGTATTTTGGGATGTTACAAGTTGGTATCAGAGCCTTGGTTTGAGCCTTGGTTTAGAAAAGCAAAAAGAATTTTTTTGAAAGAAAAGAATTTGAAAAGAGAAAAAGGGTGTGGTGCATGCAATTAGCCGAGCTCAAGTAAGTACTCCCAAATTACCCATACAAGTTTATGTTATGTTAGCAGTTCCAGTTTCAGTAGAACAACATGCTAGAATATGACTAAGGATCTAGGGGGATGCCTTAGGTGCCTGTTATATGTGTTTCGACTTTATGAGAATTGCATGCTAGTATTGAGTAGATAGCAGTAGGATAGCCTGTTTAGGTTATAACTGATATTATGAGCTTAGCATTGTATGCTAGTACAATTTCTTGTTATGAGGATAGAGTTGCTTAAGTAGTCTCTTGTGTCTGAATGTTGCTTGCTTTGTGCTTTGTGGGACTCAGAGTGATGGGAGTTAGCCATTAGGTGAATACGTCATGTCACATGTGATCAGGGTTGAGTAATCTCAGAGTACTAGATTTGGACCTATTACGTAGCTCTTGTTTGAGTCTAACCGTTGTAGGGACGAGTCTTTTACTCGAAGGATTATCTGAGCCTCGTCACATGTGATGGTATTCGGGTGATGGCTAATTGGGCATTACAAGGAGGCCTTCAGCAGCTGAAGACTGGATTTGGTGGAGTCAGATATTTCCCTAGGGCAAGCCTAGGATGAGAGTAGCAGGGATCAGTAGTGGTAGTAGTGACTTGGTGGAGTCGAGGTAGTTCTTGAGGAAGGTACGGATAGATGTGGAAGGTAGTAGGGGCCCATACTACTGGAAGCAGAGGATCCGTACTCGAATCAAGGAAAAACTGAGATGAGACCAGGAAACTTGTGGTGGTAGTTGTTAGAATAAAGTTCTATGAGGATCGTATGATTCTAAGCAAAATATAAATAAGAACGTAAATAAGAGCACAAGTATTGCAATGAATATGTCGAATGATTAATGCTAAATACCCCAGAAGATCTCGATTAAGAACTTCAATCTGTAGAGGTAAATATAGGGTTACAAGAATCAACGTGAACGACTATTCTCTATTATATACGCATACATGCATGCATATATTTATAACAAAACCCTAACAACTTATCTAGATAAAGGAAACTATTCTAGATAACTACGGATGGACAAGCCCAATCCGATTACAAATCAAAAAGCCCAAGACGCAACACTAAAATATTCAACAATCTCCCCCTTTGCGTCTTTGGAGCAAAAACTCTATTCTCTTTTCACACCAGTGGGCTTCTTCACCATTTCAAATATCCTCGGTATAATAGCCAGAATGTGTTGTCTAAATGTTATATACCACCGAAGCATATCTGTAAAATTCTTCTTGTCTGATGCTGAGTTCTGCTTGCATCAATGAATGATGTTGATTATATGCTCCAAACAATCTGTTGAAAACAGATGCTTGTCAACCAATGCAAACAGAAACTTATGCCTATCACCCTTAGTGAACATGACAGTCAAGTTTGTTGAATCAATCTGCCCCAACTTCATTTTATTTACATCACTGGGCTTA